TTGCAGATATTTAGGGATGAAAAGATAAGATCTAGTTTTGGGAGTTGTTGCTCGATTCTTTCTATTATCCTTTCTTGAACAGAAAATGAAATTATGATCAGAAAGACCTGATATGTGATTAAAAGTCTTCAAAATTCTTTCAGGCCTATTTGTGAATATTAAATCAATTGCTGTTTGTGACCCGCTTGTTATTCTTGTTGGTACATTTATCATTTGTGTTAAATTATACTTATCAGTCAGTATTTTAAGTTTTCTCCTGTCCAGTTTGTTGTTCCAGTTGATGTTTAGGTCACCCATAAAAATTATTTCCCTTTTAGAGTTGCAGTCTTTCAAAATAGTCTCCAGTTGATCATACAGTAAAATGTATCTTTTGCAGATGGGGGTCGATACATACAGATCAAAGTAAATGTGGGAGGCCTCTCTGACTTCCAGTTACCCAAAATGAGACGTCTGGCCAATAGGGATGAAAATGCAATGGCATCTGATTGTGGACCAGATATCACCATCTCAGCAAGGGCCACACCAAATATGGCAATTTCGGGGGCAGGGCTTATCTCTGTGTCACAAATGTAAGAGAATGTGTCACAAATTAAAGACCAGAACCGTCTCAACTTTGGGCATGCCCAGAACATATGGTGGAGGTCAGCTGTAGCCTGACAGCATCGGGAGCAAGTCGGATCGACATCTGGATAAATCCTTGCAAGCCTGCTCCTGGATAAATTAAGCCTATGTAGCACCTTAAACTGGAGCAAACCATGTCTGATACAAAAATGTATTCTCTGTTAAATGTATTCTCTTGATTGCGCTTTGCCAGGAGATGTCTGACAACCCAAATCCCAAATCCTCCTCCCACTGTCTTAATATGATTAATAGACAGTGAAGAGATCCTCTGGATATCCTCATATAATCTGCTCACTCCTCTTTTATTTAGATCCTCCTCCAACCACTTGTCTATCCAGTCATTTGGTGGGAGTAACGGAAAGGAAGGAAAATGTTTCTGAAGAAAGACGCGCACCTGTTGATAACTGAAATAATGGGAACTGGGGATATTATACTCATTTAACAGTTGCTTGAATGACATGAACACACCATCCTTAAAAAGATCCCTCACCAGTTTCAATCCATTCCTGGATCATAATTTAAATGCCGAATCCACCATGAGTGAGGGTGGAAAGAGTGCATTGACTGAGATTGGCATAGAAGGCATAGCCTGTCTATATTTGAAGTGGGTTCTGAATTGAGACCATATTAGAAGTGAGTCGCTTACAATGGGGTTGTTTGTGCGTTGCTGCTTACTGAGTGGCAATGGTGCACATACCAAAGAAGGTAAGGACACAGGATAAGCACAATGTTGTTCCATTTCAACCCATACAGGTCCATTCCCCTCGTAAAAAGAAGAGACCCAGTATATTAATTTATTTATTTATTAGCTGCCCAGTAATATTGCAAAAAATTTGGTAAAGCTAGGCCTCCAGCCTCTTTCTGTTTCTCCAGATGCGCTCTCCTTATTCTTGGGATGGTCTTATTCCAGATAAAAGTCGATATAGATTTATCCAGCTCTCTGAAGAAGCATTTTGGGATAAAAACAGGTATTGTTTGAAACAAAAATAAGAACCTGGGCATGATTATCCTCTTGACAGAGTTAACCCTGCCAGCAAGCGATATCGGCAGCACTGACCAACGGGTAAGGTCCAGTTTAGCCCTCTCCAGGGCAGGTTTAAAGTTATGTTTGAATAAGTCACTATATTTTTGGGTTACTGATACCCTAAGATATGTAAAAGTGTTGCGAGTTTCTTTCAGTGGGTATGACCCAAAAGACATCTGTTGAGCCTGGTTGTTAATAGGAAAGAGCAAACTTTTAGAGAGGTTGATTTTATAGCCGGAGATGTTTCCAAAACTAGAGATAATATCTAATGCCTTGGGAATAGAGGTGCAAGGATTGGACAAGTAAAGTAGCAAGTCATCTGCATATAGTGAAAGTTTGTGAGTTTGACCACCCCTGACAACGCCCACGACCTCCTCTGCATCCCGCAGTGCAACCGCTAGTGGTTCTATGGCTAGGTCAGACAAAAGCGGGCTCAATGGGCAGCCCTGCCTTGTCCCTCTACATATAGGGAAATAGTTTGAGGTTATTTTATTAGTACGGACAGAGGCCTGTGGTGTAGCAGATAGAATCCTTATCCATGAACAGAAAGCCGGACCAAAACCAAAGGCTTCCAGAGCTGCAAAAAGATATTCATATTCAATCCGGTTAAATGCCTTGTAAGCATCAAGAGAGAGCAAAACCTCTGCTGTAGGTGAGGTTTCCGAGGAATAAAGAATGTTGAAAAGTCTCTGTACGTTACTATAAAGCTGCCACCCTATAATAAAACCAGTCTGATCTGGATGAATCATTGTACACATAAGTGATTCTAATCTACTAGCCAGAACCTTAGTCAAGATCTTGTAGTCACAGCAGAGTAGACTCACTGGCCTGGATGACTCACATTTCAGGGGGTCCTTTCCTTTTTTCAGAAGGACTGAAATAGTGGCCTGTGTCATTGTAGAGGAGAGAGTCTTGCGCTCCAAAGCTTTGGTATATAAGATTTTTTTAAAATGGGCCTTGAAAATGCTTAAGAACTTTTTTAGGCTGAAGTGCCCATATCAGACCGACCAGTCCTGTGCCCCTGGGGCTGATCTAGCCCAGAACAGAAAGTTTGCCGCCTATCTGTGTCTCCTCCGTCGTTCTTATGATTGGGGACATTAAAATCCCATATATTTAAACGAAGACAGTTACTCAGACATACCTCTGTATGCGGAATAGGGGCAACCACAGAGAGTATATCTCTTCAGCGTTATCACGTCTTCAGGCGGCCCGCTTAAAGTTTTCCATTATAAAATCCTTGGCCTGTTTAGGATCTTTAAAGCTTTTGCGCAGACCATCCGGCGTCATTATTCTCAGCTTCGCTGGGTACCACAGGCCATAGGGTACTCCCTCACAGCTCCTTAATAAGCCCCGCACTTTGCTGAACTCCGCCCGCTGCTTGACTACTGCCTGTGTGTAGTCTGGTTGGATGCGGATCGTATCACCATCCCCTGTAGTCAGTTTTTTCATCTGCCTGGCTTTCCTTAGCATTTCCTCCTTCTCCTGATAATAATGACATCTGATAATGACAGCTCGGGGCGGGTCGCTGTTACCCAGTCTCACGCGCAGTGTGCGGTGTGCCCGATCCAATAAAGGAGGTTTATCAAGACCAAGCGTCTCCTTCAGGCACTGAGATATAAAGTTTGTCATGCTCTTACCGTCCTCTCATCTTTCCTTTATCCCGGTAATGCACAGGTTATTACGGCGAGATCGTGCCTCAAAATCCTCACTACGTGTTTTCCGGACAGCGAGCTCCGTCTGCATGTTAGCCATGTCCTGTTCCAAAGCAGCGATCAGGTCGGAGTGGCTGTCGGCTGCAGACTCAAGGGCGACCATTCGTTTATCTAGGGCTTCACTCTTGGCATTAGCATTATCGTTGGCTAGTTTAATCTCTGCTCTTAGTTGGTCAACCTGGTTGCGAATTTCAGCAGATTGTGCCTCAGCTTTAGTGAGCAGTTCCATCCTCTGTTTGGCGATCACTGAGAGGATAGCCTGATGTCCAGGTCCTCGGTCGGGTGTAGCGTCAGGTGCAGCGTTAGCCTCCGGGCTAGTTTTAGAGCTAGGCTTTGTGTCGGGTACTTTCCGTTGGTTTTTAGATATTGTTAGCAAATGTTTGATCCAAAGATTAAAGTCTTGTTTGTCTTCTTGGCAGGCGGGGCTCAAGTTTTTTTTTTTTTTCTTAAGTAGCTGCTTCAATATTTATTAATAGTGCTGTTGAGGAGCTCAGTAAAGACACGTCCTCACATGCCGCTGCCCAAACCGGAAGTTAAAACTATGATTAGCAAAAGTCATACATAATAAAGATAGCTAGGGTGTTTTTTTTTGGGTGTTACTTATCGCATCAACACTCTTAAAAACGGTTTCTAACAGCAGAGGTCAAACCTTTGTTATCAGGTCATCCTTGGTTTATCAGGTCATTCAAGCATGTCACCTCTGCAGCTTTTATGTGCACATTATGTTCCCTTTACCTTTATAGTGACCCTTTAGCGCTGTAAAGAGACGAACAAACCTTGCACTAGTTCAGCGTTATTTTCATTTAAACACAGACACTCAGACAGCAGACCTGATATATTAGCAAAAATTCAGCAATTATTATTTAGAATTCAAGCAATGGGATTAATAGTTTATTTTATATGGATTCCTTCTCATAGGAATAGAAGGGAGATGGCTGATAGATGTGCAAAACAAGCAAGTAAATGTAATTTAATTGATATAGTAATTCCATTTAGTAAAGTTGAAATAAAACCAGTAATTAAGGAAAGGATTCGATCAAGATGGCAGAAACAGTGGGAAGAAAAAAGAACTGGCAGATGGTTTTATAATATTAAAAAAAAAGTTGGCTTTATGAGAAAAACAGCAAGGAATAGAAAGGAGGAAATGGTGATATCAAGGTTACGGTTTGGCCATACAGGTTTAAATAGCATGTTGTTTAAAATAGGGAAACATTATACAGGGTAGTGTGATTTTTGTTTTTATGAGGAAACAGTGGAGCACATAATATTGTTTTGTACTAAATATGTAAATGAAATAAATAAATTCATAAATTGATTACAAATCAATAAATCAGAGTTAAACTTAAAATACATTTTAGACTTGGACTCTAAATCAGAGGATTTCTCCTTTTTATTGAGGTTTCTTAAAAAGACAATTTTTTTAAAGAGGATTTAGCTGTAGTAATATGTAGTAGGATATTGAATTAGTTCAATCCTGATTCACACTCCATTTCAGTTAGTGGTGGTGATGCACCGAAAAATTGTTTGCCAAAACATAAAACACAATAAGAAGAAGAAAAAGAAGGTCGTCCTATCGTCACATCCAGGAAGCTCTTGTACTGTCAGACATGTTTCAACCTGCCCAGCTGGCTGTTCCTGTAGAACTGCTCTTTACTTTCGATTTGGGACCAAATCTGTTTGTCTGGGTGTAACTATGAGATGGAGACTAAGATCACATCGTTTTGCTTATTTCTGGGTAAGTTCTGCTCTGAAGATTTATCAGGCTTCATGTATCTATGTGAAAAAGCTTGGATGTTAATGGCATAAAATCTGTAAGGTCAGTTTGGGTATGAAAAGTTTGGGAAGTTTGGAAAAATGCTCCAATCTTCAGAGGCTCATGTCATCTTTCTCACTTGGAGAATTTCCATTGATTGTTGTTTTTCAGTTTGTTGTACAGAATGAATCACATTAATTCATGATTCATCCATGAAACCGACCTCTGTTCTGTCTGGAGTTTTGATGTAAAAAATACATTATATTATATATTTGTACAGTACAATATATAATACATATATTATTCACTCCGAGGCATCGCAGAGCAGTCAGATATGTGATCCAGCTGCTGTATTTAGCTCGAGGTCACTAACCTTAAATAATAGTTACTGTGTTGTCCTCACTGCAGTGTATTAACTGAAGCTATCCAACAAGTTTAACTCTGATGCAATAACCAGGAGACTGCTCTGTAGTTAACGTTCCACTGTTGTTTACTTGAAGAATCCAGCATTACATAGCAGAGTGAAAACTGTAACAAAAACAAAGTTTAACTATTTTTAATCTTAAGTTTAGCTTCACATAAAGTCTGATGAATTAACCTATCTAAACACATGAATAAAAACGATCTTTTTAACCTATTTATTACATTTTCTTTCTACTATAAACTTAACTTTAACTATCAATTATTTAACATAACAATGACTTTTACTTACGACTTTCCTTCTAGCATCATTCACAGTCAGGAATTCTTTAAAGGAATAGTACACCCAAAACATGATTAGCCTTCATTTTCTACTCACCCCCATGCTGAACAACACTCTGGAGTACTTTTTTGATATCTCAAATGCATCTGGAGATCTGGGAGGCTTCTTGCTGTCTGCTGACATTCAAATAATGGAGGTCCATGGTGCCCGAGACAGAAAGGTCCATAAAAGTCCACAAAAAACGTGTCAATATTCCTTCATACTGCTCGTCCAATGTATTCCAAGTGTCCTGAGTGGGTAGCGTCCATAATTTACTCGAAACAAAGTCATTTAGAATGTTTTTAGAGCATAAACAGTGATGTATAGGATTTCCTGAAAGCGCGCGCCCGCACGTTCACGACGCTACGGAAGCCGGCAGACCAATCCAGATGAAAGTGCGCATTCAGCGTCTGCTCTGCCGATAATGCAAGCGTAGAAGAAGAAATGTGCTGTTTACCTGTGCAAAGAAAGAAACAACGAAAGAAAAATGTCTGAGGACTTCAGTGTTGAGGAAGAGCATGAGTTCTTTGCCGAGCTGAATGCGCACTTTCATCCGGTTTGGTCTGCCGTGGTTTCCGTAGACTCGTGAACGTGCTTTCAGGAAATCCTATACACTACTGTTTATGCTCTAAAAACATTCTAAATGACTTTGTTTCGAGTAAATTCTGGATGCTACCCACTCAGGACACTTGGAATACATTGGACGAGCAGTATGGAGGAATATTGACACGTTTTTTGTGGACTTTTATGGACCTTTCTGTCTCGGGCACCATAGACCTCCATTATTTGAATGTCAGCAGACAGCAAGAAGCCTCCCAGATCTCCAGATGCATTTGAGATATCAAAAAAGTACTCCAGAGTGTTGTTCAGCATGGGGGTGAGTAGAAAATGAAGGCTAATCATGTTTTGGGTGTACTATTCCTTTAAGTAAGAGCCATTTTTAGCAGATAGAAACCGAATGTGGAGTAACTCAATACAATGCAGGAAGTAGTAAGGAAACTACAGGAAATGGTATTAAAATAAAAGGTCCTATTTTTTCTCAACTTTTCATCATAAAAGTCTGTATATAAATCGCCTTAAAGGAATAGTACACTCAAAACATGATTAGCCTTCATTTTCTACTCACCCCCATGCTGAACAACACTCTGGAGTACTTTTTTGATATCTCAAATGCATCTGGAGATCTGGGAGGCTTCTTATTGTCTGCTGACAATTAAATAATGGAGGTCTATGGCGCCCGAGACAGAAAGGTCCATAAAAGTCCACAAAAAACGTGTCAATATTCCTCCATACTGCTCGTCCAATGTATTCCAAGTGTCCTGAGTGGGTAGCATCCAGAATTTACTCGAAACGAAGTCATTTAGAATGTTTTTAGAGCATGAACAGTAGTGTATAGGATTTCCTGAAAGCGCGCGCCTGCGAGTTCAGGACGCTACGGAAACCGTGGCAGACCAAACCAGATGAAAGTGCGCATTCAGCTCGGCAAAGAACTCATGCTCTTCCTCAACACTGAAGTCCTCAGACATTTTTCTTTCGTTGTTTCTTTCTTTGCACAGGTAAACAGCACATTTCTTCTTCTACGCTTGCATTATCGGCAGAGCAGACGCTGAATGCGCACTTTCATCTGGTTTGGTCTGCCGGCTTCCGTAGCGTCGTGAACGCGCAGGTGCGCGCTTTCAGGAAATCCTATACACTACTGTTTATGCTCTAAAAACATTCTAAATGACTTTGTTTCGAGTAAATTCTGGATGCTACCCACTCAGGACACTTGGAATACATTGGACGAGCAGTATGGAGGAATATTGACACGTTTTTTGTGGACTTTTATGGACCTTTCTGTCTCGGGCGCTGGGCACCTCCATTATTTGAATATCAGCAGACAGCAAGAAGCCTCCCAGATCTCCAGATGCATTTGAGATATCAAAAAAGTACTCCAGAGTGTTTTTCAGCATGGGGGTGAGTAGAAAATGAAGGCTAATCATGTTTTGGGTGTACTATTCTTTTAAAGGCGACACAGTTACCATCATTCCTCCAAGGAGAAGTTTTGTCTAAAGTATTGATACCAACCTAACTGACTGAAAATGAACCTACATGGGTGGGCCTGGGTGTGTGGAGATATTTAATATTGACAATAAAATAGATTAAAAGCACACATAGACAAATAAAGTACATTTGCAGCTCAAGAACTGAGTTAAATAATCTGACATAAAGAAACATTTACTTTGTGCCACTAAGGTCTCATATTATGCTAGATTTCAAAAATAAAAAATACTAATAATGAGGCCCCCAAAGCTTGTTATTGTCATTTGTTCAGGAAAATTCCTCTCAGATTAAACAGACAGCATGAAGCTAAAATCTCCTCTGGATGAGCTGTAATGGCTGGTTGTTCAGAGGCTGTTTTGAGTGACAATAAATCCACACTATGATCTAAAGTCACAGGTTACAGATTCCTCATGCAGACTAACAATCAAAACACAAATGAACAAATAGACAGTTATGTTCCTCCTTTGCAGGAGAAGAGAGGCTGCTGCTGTTACTGATGCTGAAAATAACTTTATAGTTAATAATTTTGACTAAACTTAAGATATTTTCAGGACAGTTTGGTCTGACTGTATCTGTTGATGTTCTACAGCGATGATGAGATTATCTCCTGCTGAGGAGCTGAAGAGGAACCTGACTGGAGTTGTTGGAGGAAACATCACTCTGCCTGATCCTCTGATGGAGGAAGGATTTATTTTAGATGCAGGGAAAGCCAACAATCTTGCTATGGTGACTGAAGGAAACCTTAAGATTCTAGATGACAAATTCAATAATAAACTTCTCTGGAACAAAGACTCTGGACTCTTTACAATCACAGACCTGCAGAAGATCGACTCTGGAGTTTATAAAATTGATGATAAAAAAAGAGAGATTTCTTTCTCTTATTCGCTCTCAGTGTACGGTGAGTAACATGTTCTTTAAAAATAATAATACTGACCACTTTGGGTCTGATATCAATCAGTTGCTCTTTTTCTTGTTAGTTTGCTGCTACATCTTCATTTTCTGATAATCAAAAATGACCTTTGGGAACATCTAGTTTCTAAAAGTTATGTTTAAATTAAACTTATATAAGTGAGGGAAAGAGATGTTTTAATGTACAGTCTAATAGATTTGACTACAGCTTATAAACACAAAGGAAGCTCTCATAGGAAAGATTTTCATCTATCAAACACAATAATATAAAGTTCCTGGTAAAATCTAATATAGACTCTGCTGCTGTTCTGGTTATTATATAAGCTTAAAGAGAAAGTTCAACTAGAAACAACATACGATTCTGCTAGAGCTGCTATTATTTATTGATTTACTTTACATTTTTTAAGAAAAAACACATACAAAGCAGAACAAAAAACAAACAAACAAACAAAAAAAAACAATACAACTGTACAGTCTAGGCTGAAGCCTAGTATTATATTGCCTTTACTTCATACAGAGTTTAGGTTAAAATTCACAGCAGTAGCTTAAAGAAAAAGAATAGAAGAAGAAAACAAAAATATGAAAACAAAGAATAAACAATAACGAATATAATATACCAGGTGATCCACAGCAATCATAGTATTTATTTGCTTTTTTTAATATTTGTGCATGATGTTTTTAAATATATGATAAAATCTCTGAAGTGTATTACATATCTTTATTTAAATTTCTATGTTATTTCCCAAATGGACAAACACATTTGTTTTATATTCTGGTTCTGGTCTTTATTTTGTTGAATAAGCAGCTTCCTGTCTCATGGTAGTGATGAACTCGTACCTGAAACATCCTCTAAAATCTCTCTGGAAACATATTATTCATTTTAAACATGGTTTGATCAGTTTTTACAGATCAGCAAACTTTAAAACCTGTGATTTTATAAATAGTGAGTGTTAGTGCTCATAGTACTTTGCTGTATTTAAGTATAATTACTCTTTTTGCAGTAAATAAATGTAGGATGTAAATGTTTTGTTAATGTCATCCTAATTAAGCAAAACCCAGAAATGTTCAAGTGGTAAAGCATCAAGGAAACCGGCTCCACCCGGTGGAGCCGGTTTCCTTGATGCTTTACTGCTTTAACACACCTGATTAAAGGATTTTACTGTTAAACATTTTTCATGAGTGCTGAAGCAGGGAAACATTTAAAACATGAGGGACACTGGCTCTACAGGACTGACTTTGGCCCCTTCTATAATCATGTGGCGAGACTAGATTGAAATCGGGAAATTGTAAATTTCTGAACCCAAATAAAATTGCTCCACAACGCCACCTTGGGAATTTCACCCAAGGAATATTACTCCCCTTTTTGATAGGACACACAAGTTCGCTCATGCGTGGATTAAGACATCTGAGACAATTTTAAAATGTACAAACAGCTTTTTATTAGATGCTTCTTAAAATATTCTTTTTAAAACCAATTCTTTATAACACTAAAGAGAAAAAAGAAAAGTAACTACAGTAGCTGAGGTTACCGGCAGAAGGGGGCCACCATAGGACGGTATCCACCCAAACACAGCAAACAAAACCCCTGTAAAGCACCAGACGCAGTGAGACAACCCAAACTCAGGAATCACCGCACACAAAAAAAAGGAGACACCGTCACCACACCAACACCGCCGCCGGGCCTCAGCACTGTCAGCAGAGAGAGAAAAAAAACAATTAATAAAGACAACAATCCAAAATGTACAACAAAAAGAAAACAATATCAGCCTAAATGTATAAATAGTTATATCGCACCAAAAAGGCTGGGACAAAAATAAAGAAAAACAAATTAAAATATCAAAATCCGGTGCGACCCTCTTGCCACGCAACAACAGGAGGTGAACTGAGCGCGCTGGTGCCGCACGCCACTGCCGCACGCCAAACACCACTTCAATTAGGGCGTGTAGCCGCCACCACAATCCGAGGTTGATGATGCGCAGAATCCGGGATATCAACAGAGCAGCAATGGTAATATGGGGAGACCTGTAAAAGTTAATTAGTCACTATTTAACAGAACTGCAACAAATTGGCGCTAACAATGAGCGCTACTTCTTACCTCCCAATCCAGACAAACTCATGTATGCGCACACACACACACAAACCGACGACGAGGAGGAGAGCCGCACAGTAGCGTTTTGCCTATGATCACACCTGATTTAGATCTTCTGTGAACAAGCAGCAATAGTGCAAAGAGAGGGGAGACCTACCACCAAGATCAGAGCAGCATGCACCTGATGCTATGCCTTTCGACTGTCAGTACCTGAGACGCGAGTCACAGCCAAAGCTTGAGGAAGACATGTGTGTCCGATTGGGCGCAGCGGCTTCTTATATACCACGCCCACTTTGCCCAACCGGAACCTCGCACCTGAAAGCTATTTGTATAGCAATACATATATTTCTATACCACTACAATCACTTTCATTCAGTCCTATAAATTAGCCGTAATATCTCCATTGGTGTTTATATTGTCATTTGTCTCCATTTCAAGTTTAACTTCCATTGTTTTGGTGTTTTTAGCTTATTGCATCACTTTAAGTTGTTTCCAGTTAAAATTTTAGTTCTTGTGCCACTCTGTGTTCAATGTAAAGAGAAAAGCTTTATCCGAACATCAGCAACAAAGTTCTGCAGCAACATTTGGATTTTAGATGAAGAATAAATTTAACGTTGAAAGAGAATCAGCATGATAGTGAACTAAACTAGAGGATTTGCTTCCAAGAGATTCTTAATTTAGGAGAGGATTTTCAGAATTGCTCTGATGTGGAGCTAAATTGTATGTAGGACCAACAGGATACAATTAAATATATGTATTATGTAATATATAAATGTTGTTAAGGAAGAAATTATTCTAAAATAGTTAACTTAGGAAAAAGGTTGGCTTTCTCTCTTCCTTCTTTTCCCGAGCATCTCGGCGAGCTGCGTGTGGCCACAAGGAAAACCAGCATTGCGTGTTGACGTCACAGAATTACAGAGTTTAATCCAATATAAGACAATGCATAAACTTACACCAGAAACTGCAGGACAACGGAGACATACATTCAATTACCTGACATAAATGGAGAGAAGGAAAGAAAGCAAAGACGTACAAAGACATCTTTGGAGAGTTGCAAGAGCAAATCTGATTTGTTACTTCTATGTAGAAAGCTTTATCCTCTTGTATTTAATTTATTCAAATAAGGTTGGCTTTTGCTCCTCCAACAAGGAGCTATCTCTGACACTCAGAAAACTTAGAGCTTCACCTAATTTACTGCCGGGCCTCCAGGAATTCTAAGGTCATCTGGCTAACATGAGATAAGGTTTCACAGAATCGGTGTGGAATGCGGGGCCTCTTTCCTGCCATAAATTCTCAAGAACAAACTTAAATTCAGTATTTTGGTTCAAGGAAAGGTTATCTTTACAAACTCAATTTTGCTCTTCTGCACCATTTCGCCCCAAAAGATTGAATCCTGCCTTAAACCAAAAATAACACATAGAATCAACAGAACATGAGATACAATTCCTTTTTCTCACAAATGAAACATAATATTCAATCCCACGTATACAAGCTAACATATTCAATTACCCCATTAAGCATAGATCCTGAGCAATTTTCTAATACTAAACAAAACATTTTCATTCAAACAATTTCCATTTGATTCTGATATTGTCACAGATAGTACAATTTTCAAATACATTCTTCATCTACTAAACTAGTTAATTCTAATATTAGATAATACAATTTTCATTTAAAAAACATGCTATTAATACTTAGGAAAATGTCTTAAAAACTAAATGTTAGTGTTCTAACATTCTACATTGTATTCAGTTTCACACCATCCCAGATGTTTTATTCCGGAAGACTTTTGGTCTTCTGTAAACCAAGCAGACCTCTCCCCTCGAGGCTCAAATGATATTCGCCCCCCAGGAGATACTCATTTTATGGCCTCCTGTGCTTTGAATACTTACCCATCAATAGTTTAGTTTTAAATCATTAACACAACCTTGTTAAAAATTAAGAAATATGGTCAAAATGAGTGTTCAACATACCTTTTACACATGCCATAAGATTAACTGTATTAAAAACTAAAAATAATCATTTTTCTTTAACAGTCCCCGTTTTGAGGTCTGAGACACACAGACCTCACAAATAAATTGATTAAGCCTTCTAATAGAGGAACCAAAACACTATTTAGTATACTAAAAAACTAAAACATTAGCCTTATTATATAACAGTCCCCTTTTTAACAGAACCTCCTAGCTCCACTGCCAGGCCATGTGTCTGAAGCTGAACTCCATTATCTGAACTTATCAAATGTATCTTGCGCTGTCCAACAATTTAATACTCACCTGATGAACCACAAAATTTTAACCAGTAAAAACTAAAACTAAAAATACCTTTCACTTATATCAAATATGAAAAATCATAAAACTCAGTTATGTCAATAGAAGAAAAAAACACAATAGAAATATCAGCCGAAGTATAAAATTAGAAAACCAGAGTAAGATATCTCGAAATTACTAAAAAATGCCCAGGAAAGTTAAAAGACAATACTCGCCACAAAAATTACAATTTGTCAATACAAAACAATAACAACATCAAAAAAGAAAATAAATCATAAACACATAAAAATTACAAAATACCCTTTTTTTTTTCTTTTTTTCACAATTCAACAATAAGAACTTAGAGTTCGTCTCTATGCTCCTTCAATAGTTCTCCAAAAATGGATATGAATTCTTCGTCAGGAAACGATCCAAAAATACGCGCAATAAGAAACGAATGTTCTTTAAGAGCTCGCAAAAAACGAAAACACGCAATAAAGAGAAGATAAGTTAATGATGATCTTGTAGCCTGATCCTTCACGCTTTCCTCCTCAGTTGTAAACCTCAGGTTTCCACCTGAGTGTCCGTTGCTCACTGAAAATTGGAGTATTGTGCCAATATAACAGTGAGTCTAAGGAGAGGTTGCAATCTCCT